TAAACTGTTTTGTCTATTTGGATATATCGGACATCATTAATTACTGATATATATCTTACTGATCATTTTTACATATTAGTTTTATTTATTTTTTATGCATAAAGTTTCAGTACATCTTTCCTATTAACCTTTTACAAAAGACATCATTCTGTCTACATATGAAGGAAAAACTTGGTGAATAATCATGAAATATCTGATTCATGCTGGGATATGATCTTTGATATATCACATGTAACATATTACTAATACTGACAACGTAATTATGATGCTAATCAGAATACAAATTATCCTCTCAAGTAAGTCAGTGACCATAAACACTCTAGTGTAAGCTTTGATTAACAATACTAATTACCGGTGTAGGTAATTTATGACTTCATCAAATTCACGATATTTGAATTTATGAATATACAATTTTACAATTTTTAACGAATTCACCAATTATCTTGCTGTGATATTTATGGTTAATATATACAGATAATCAGATGTTTATGAATAAATGAATCGATGTTATGAACACACGAGAACTTACATAATGACCTGTAACAAGGATCCTTCATATTTATCAGACGCAAATTTTAATCCTGTCAAAAATGTTTCGATTACAAGGACATCTGGTTGGAATCGTAAAGGCACTTTCCATTTCCAAGTAAATAACAAAAATGTATCTATAACTATATCCATAAAAGGTGATAATGCCATAGTTATATTATAAAGAGTATATCTGTGATAACTATTAATCTATTCTCGTGTTTAAAAAAAAAACAAAAAACAAAAACAACAACAACAATACATCTGAATATCGCATACATAAAATTAATACGTTAAGTTTGTTAAAAGTGTTAAAAACTTAACTCGGCCATTCATCCGTTGGGTATTTAAAGAATAATTTTTATCTTAAAAACCATTCAAGGGTTTTCATAATTTTGATATACCGTGGTATAGCTTTTACAGTCACGCGTACTCTGCTTAACAGTAACGATATAATTCATTGATAAAAAACATACCTGAATCGGGCAAAAAATGCGCGTGTTCCGTAACCTTGAGGTCACGTGCGATGGAATCGCCACATTGCCCACGCTGATCATGGCATAGGCACTGTGCGTAAATATTTACCTTTCCTCTGTTCGGGGATTGTTGTCATTAAGTAGGCGATAAATCAAGTACGTAAATCTTTAAATAGAAACAAAATTATTGTCAATCATCATCCAAAATCAGTTTCAAAGCACGCTTAAGTTTTTGTTGTTGTTTTTAAACTTTAATTGGAAATTAACGTTACAGGATAGGCCGTATTGGATAATTAACAACACTTTTTGTGGTGTTATATATTCTGGTCCTACAGAATTTCCAATACAGTATGTTTTCATATATCTCGCCGTACAACATTACTGGTTGTGATACTCCTTGTTGTATTTTGTTATATTTCCATTTCGTACAGAACTGCTGGTTCCGACACTTCTTATCATTTTAATTACTTCCGGGTCAAACAAATTTACTGGTTTCAATACCCACAATGTTGTTATAAGTCACGGCCTTACAAGATGAGATACTCTTTATATGGTTATATTTCCCGGTTGTATATATTTATTGGTTACAATGCCCACAATGTTTTTATTTCTTCGGGTCCTAAGACTGGTATCATTCATGATGAAAAGAATGCATCATAAATAACTGGAAATATTGTTAGGCATAAACTCTGTCGTAAATAAAAATGTTTTTGATGACGAGAAGCACTTGCAAATTGACAAATAATTTGTAAAAATTTTGATCTAACAAAATTTGTGAAATTTTACGTGATTATTTCAACAAGAATAATGTGCCTTCATGATCTGATGACGTCATGAATAACAGTGCATGTCGTTACGCTACAAAAAATGTAAAAATGACTGAAAAACACAAAACGCATGAAAAAAAAACAAAGAAAGAAAGAAAGAAAATTTGTTTTTTTTTGTAAGATCAAATTATATTTGACTCGTGAGCATGCTCAGCAACTGGTAATAATCATTAGCAAACCGTTAGGAGCTGTACACCATTGATAACTGTATTTATTTTATATCGCTCAAAATTATTAAGCTGATTTCTTTGTAGATATTGTTATTTGAGAAATTTTCCCACGTCTTTTAACTTACGTATGATTTAAACTGAGAACAAAGAAGTCACTAGGGACTACTTTAAATTCAGTTGACGCCATGAAGTGCATATTCGTATTTTCTAGATAGAAAAACTTGAAGACAAGAAAAATACCAATTAAAAAAAGCACTGCCTAACATTTCCAAATTCAATAATAAACGAATTCTATGAATAGTTCATGTTATCTATGACCTGATCAACATTTGTGTAATAAAAGTACGTGACTTTATATAAAGAATATAATTCCAGTTTGTTGGAAACATATTTTCATATATTGAGATGTTAATAACATATATCAATTATATGAGTACACATTAAACTAACGTATCTCATTCGGTACAGTCATCATCTGATTCAATAATGACACACATATTGTAATGTTAATAGTTGCATATACTTGTATATTTCCATTACAAGAAGGCCTCGTACTGCAAGTCTTCATAATATATAACTATAATGTCCTATGTTAAATACTTACCTCTTATTCCTGTAGATTCATGTATTCTAAAAAAGTTTACTTCTTCAAAAACAAACGTAACGACGTATATTCTACATGATTCATTAGTTACTTGTTGATAAATTATTCACTTATTTTAATAAAATTCTGAAATGCTTTTGGGTTTACTTTATTTAATAAAACATACGCCTTAATTTAGAAATATTTGTAAACAATCTAAAGAAAACAGAAGTATTCCCAAAGGATTTAAGTATCGAAGCAATTAGCAGACATCTTTGTGTTTGCAGACAATTCTGTTTATATGTACCTCATTTTCCAGGTCAATACTAGTTTAGAGGATTTACGGATAATTGGAATAACATAGAGACGGGGAAAAGCATGTTCATATGTATATATCAGAAATTCTTACACTCCTCGCTATTTTGTCACTTTACACACAAAAAAAACCAACAAAAAAGGAAAGAAAAAATATTTAAATTAAAAAAAAAATACACTTTATATCGGAGTCTTTTTTTTTATCCAAAATTAGTAACGCGTATTTGAGAGACTTGTGTGTATACAATGATATCAGCGCGAGTTCGTCGGCGGCTTAATGTCATCATCTTAAGTATGCCTATTCATAAAGGCACCAGAATGACGTCATTTCAAACTGACATGATTAATTGTGCAATGCATTTTTTTTAAAAACAAGGAATCGGCGGTCAAAATTCAATTCGACCTTCATATGTGCTTAAGAGATCGATAGCTGATAGCTGATAGAGAAAACTATCTTCTAAACTACGAATTACGTCCATACTGTATAGACATTTAAAATATTAAACAGCCAGTCTCAAACGACAAACAGCTAGGTATCGTAGCTTTATCTTGAGTCTTTGATGATTAAAGGTCACTACAACAATAGGCTTACTGTCTAACGCTAGCACTAAAAACACTAAAAAATATCGAATTCATACAAAATGGTGACGCTTAGCGAAACTATAATGAATAACTTCATTCACTACAAACGTTACACGGACAAGGTAAACTTAAATTTTCCAACAAATGACAAAACTTTCTTCAGCTCTTGTATCATGTGCTTCCCCATATAAAATTATATTACTTCATTTGAAAAAAGAACACACCACTTCAAGATTCCATAAGTGTAATTAATAGATTTTCACTAACATGTACAATTATTTAATTAAACCTCTTCATAATTAGGTTGAAATATCTTACTTTTGTTTAAGAGTTGTATAACGGACACTGATTTTTTTCAGCCGGACATTTGCGTCATAACAACAACAACAACAACAACAGCAACAGCAACAACAAAACAAACTCTTAACATCAAGGGCAATTCAAAAATGCATGTTCAAGAATTGAAAATGTTCTTATACGTACTTACAGAATGAGGAATGGTTATGTCTAGTTAAACAATCTAATGACTAAACTTTAATCTTCTCTAGCTGTGTACAAGTCCAAACATATCCCATATTGTACAAACCAACACTACATGTATATCAATCTTTAGGAAACGAAATAAAGGTCATACAACAAAGCAGATGAAATTTTAATCAAGTTTTAGTAATACATATTTAATATACACCATGTCTGTTATAAGGACATGTAGATAAACTGATATATGATTATTTAAATCAGCCTTAATTATATAACTAATACACTCAATGATTCTTTATATTTCACCTCATGCTATGTCAAAATGATAGGTTGGCGACAAGTTGTGCCTCATCTTATATAAAAAGCCAGGCTTCATTCGTTTTTTTTTGTAAGCACATAAAGAATAAAACATAAAGAATAACAGTATAAAATTAGTAGAAAAAAGTGTATCTCCGGGAATCATGACAAATGCGAGATGGAATATCTAAAAGAAAAAAAAAGAAAAGATAAGATATAATAATATATCGAGCGTGCAACTTCATGCAGAATATGCAGACATATGTCAAAACACCTGAACATTTCCAACGTATATCCAACATCATTCAACAAGCAGACGGATTGTCTAGCTGTTAGATAATGTTAATGTTATTTATTCAGAACCCGGGTACCAGACTGTGCGTAGCTTGTGATTAATTTTGAATTGTTTAAGAAAACAGCTAATTACCCAGGTACTAGTATATCACAACGAATTAAATTATATAACTGTGGTTGGTTTATAAAGAGCGCATTTCAGTCTGACTAAAGTTTAGATCTTCTTATGTTTTAACATGTATATCTAAATATCTCCTGTCAAATGCGGCTTTTCCAATACACCTATTTGAGACCTGATCTTTTCTAAAACATGAATATAAGCCGATTGAAAGGTGACGAGAATTATACCTCCTATTGTTGATTGTCAGATTCTATAAGCATAGCATTTTTAGAATTTTGGAGCTTATTCAATAAAATCAAAAATTTATAATAAATTCTTATATTGTAGTTTTATCGTCAGAAGGACCCCTTCCAAGTTTTACCAACACACCTACAAATGTTGTTACACATAAAGGATCTGTTGCCATTCTACGATGTGGTGTTGACAATCTTGGAACAAAAACCGTATGTACTAGTATAAAACTTGGTATTTTACAAAATCTATTGATCGCATAGGTTTTACATATTTGTATTGTTTAAAGTAATCAAAATAAAGAAGAGACCAGTTCGTTACACTTGTTCGGAATATGTTTTACGTGCATTTCAATTATCTATCCGTTACTAAGTGACACCTTAGACAGAGAGATTCATAGCCATAAGTACATGATCATTTCATTTAACTTTTGTTGCGATCTGTATTGATACATGTCAAGGTCTTGACGCAAGCAAACTTTGAATTATTTATATATGCTTAAAGATCCTGTATGATGAAATTAAAGATGTTACATACAGTTAACAGAAAGTAAATATAGGTACTCCAATGCAATTGTTTAACATTCAATAATTTGTTACATTCATGCAACAACATTTTATATAATTATAAATAGGTTTTAAAAATAATACATATATTTTCTTTATTGGAAATTGGCCAAAACTTTATCAAAAATATATTTCTAATAACCTATATTTACATGAACTGTTAAATTCGGTCATGTCTTGAATTGCTTTTTAAAACTTACGATATTGATAATTCTTCAGTTGAGCTTGTCAGGTTTGTCATATAGTACCAAAACATTTCTTAGGCACAAGGACTTTCGGAAAGAACTGGCTAATTGTACATGTTTTTACTGACTGTAAACAACAATAATGTTTTTTTAATCAGGACATTGAAGTTTTACACAAGAAGGCATACATATAAATAAGTTTCCCCATCTAAGTGACCCCTGGGGCAGGGCCAATAGTGACACAAGGAGCATGAATTATATCATTTTTGTAGAAGTCTACAGTTCTAGCGTATTAAAATGTGTTTTTATAAACTCATGTTATTTAGAGGTTATTAAATTCAGTCATTCAGAAAAACAGTGGTAGTCATGGGATAATTTTATTACTATATTACTATATTACTATATTGGTAGTTTTTCTTTTGAGCATCTAATTTGTGCTACTTTATACCAGCTAATTAACCCAGATCAGTATTTCAATGAGACAAATGATGCCCAAAATATGTGCTCACTAATAATGTTCGTTAATATTTCTGCCAAGTAATTTCAATTTCCTTCCATTAGTTCAAAAGATACTAAGCGGACACGAAATTGCTAACGGATAGACGGACTGTCAGGTGAATAACAATTTACGCCGATTTTTTTTCGGGCGTATAAAATGGAGTTAGACATTTTCAAGTGAATTACTCCATCAATGTTTTTTGACATGAAAAGACTTGAAATATATCTATATCTAAAGAACCAGAGGAAGAAAATTAAAACAACTCGGCAAAATGTTAACCATAATGAGACGATGTGCATAGCACAGGTTTGACCTTCTTCTGGTCATGGTCACACTTAGTCATTTCGTGTACGCTCTGTATCTTTTGAAAAAAAAATAACGTTTTGGCAGAAATATTACTTTTAATGATACGATGTGTCGAACACAGGTTTGGGCTTCCTCAGATCAAATTTGGCCTCGCCCCGCCCCGGGGATTACTTGATTTATATAGACTTATATAGGAAATCGCATTAAGTTTCATTGTGTGAAACTACAATTTCTGGAGCACAGATGGACTACAACATAACTGTAGATAAACCTGTTTGAAATAGTGTGTTTTATGTGCACGATTGAACTTGAGTCTCTCACACCGAATGGAAGATTGTTCTGGAGAGCTGCATATTTAAATTGTCTGTCCTCGTAGGTTACAATTACACTTTTTTGGTATCGCTAAAGTAAGAACTTTGTTCTGGGATCGCAGATTTCTTCTTATTTCTGTAAAACATTTCTTTCATTCTGGTGATTGACCGTTCAAAGCAAGAGGTATGCGTTAAAATTTTAAACTTAATTCTGAATTGCACTGGAAGCCAATGTATTTCTTTAAGAACATGTGTGCGTGGTTCTGGAGATGATGCGGGCCGCTGTATTTTGAACGATCTGAAGTTTGTTGATTAATGTTTGAGGTACTCCATACAGTAATGCATTGCACTGATCTAGATGCGAGATAACCGATGAAGTCACATGCTGTTCAGATGCATCAATTGTTAGATATTTCTGAATTCTACCTATTTGTCTAAGTTGTGCATAACATGACCTACATACCAAATTAACGTGATTTTCCATGTTCATGTTTGAAGCGAAGATAACACCTAAATTTCTAACATTAATAGTTGGTTGTATCATAGTTTGAGGACATTTATGTTGAAAATGTGTCCGAGTTTTTCGTATACATAAACATGCACAGTGCGTTAACTGGAGTGCAGGTATTAGTTACCCGAACTCCTAAGCATACCCATTGACTGGCTCATTTTTTTCTGAGGTTTACTTATTGTGACGGAAGAGAGAGAAAGGGAAAGCGACAGAAATATCATATTCACATGCTCGTTACTTGGTTACTTTTTTCTGGGGTTTAATATTGTGACAACAGGGAGCGTGTTTTTATTTTTGCCTATGATACGCCCCCCTCGTACAAATCGGATAGCCCCGTGTTTCGATGCTTTTTCTATTACTTTAATGTTCTACAAATAGATCTCCAGTGTGTTTTGAGTTTTGTGGAGATGAGAACATATTGACTTATGTTTTATCAGTGTAACATTGACTTGTTGACTTCTACAAAACTAGTATGGTTCAATTTTGACCCGTCCTCTGGTCATTTAATGGATATAGCCTTGTATTTGGATGTTACTTTGTGAAACTACAATGCCTAGAGTTTGTCATGAAGCCATGTAGCGTTGCTTCGTTGACCTCTACAAAAATGATATAAATCCTGCCCCTGGGGTCTATATTGGCCAAACCCCGGGATCTGTAGGAAAACGTTTTTGAATCTTATCGTGTCAAACTACAATGCCAAGAGCTTAGACATTTTGCAAGAAGCACTTTCTTATCGGCCTCCACAAAATTGATATTAAATTGTATTTGCTCATTGGGTCAAATTATGGCCCGCCACGGGAGTCACTTACTTTTATATCGACTGATATAGTTAAAAGAATTAAGACTTTGTGTGTAAAACTACAATGCTACGTTTGAGCATCTAACATTACTTGTGGACCTTTGCAAAACTGATATTAATCATGCCCCTAGGGTCAATATTGGCCCAGGCCGGGGTCACTTGATTTATATAGATTTATACATAAAACACAATTAAGTTGTAATGTGTGAAACAGCAAATCCAAGAGCTTAGATATTTGGCATCAATTTGTAGATTTCTACAAAAGTCATATTAATCATAACCCTCAAATCAAAATTGGCCATATCCCGGGAGTCACTTGCGTTGTGTAAACTAAGGTATAGGGAAACAAATCTTATAATTTTGTGGATAACTAGTACGGCTCTTTACTTGGCATATAGCTTTGCCTAATTGACCTCTGTAAAGTGTCATAAATCATGTACCTAGAGTGAAAAACCCCGCCTTTAAGCTGAAAATCATTACAATATTAGTTGTAGGTAAATTGAATGTTATACGATCCAATTTTCAAATTTAAGAATTTACATCAAAATTACTGATAGCGTTTAGTAAATTATTGTGATATGTTGATATGCCAACATGCAAATGAATTAATGTAGTACCTTTTCATGTTTTGATTTGACAGTGTTTTAATAATAAATGTGAATCATAAAGACTGTCATTTCCAAAAGCAATTGGTTTATATTCTAGGTTACATGGCGGAAACTGCCGTACAATATTCCTATTACGGTAGGAAAAGATCAATTTCTCAAAATTGACAGGTTTAAACTATTCCAAGTTCCTTATCAGGGAGAATGGAACCTCCATATCAAAAATGCTCAACCGTTTGATTCAGGGACCTATGAATGTCACGTTAGCCTGAAAGGCGAAAAGATTAGCAGGAATATTACACTTACAGTGTTAGGTATGTAAAATATTTTTATTAACTCTTTAATTACTCTTAAAGTTATTAATTTATATTAGTGTACCTGTTCCCGACTTTATTGGGCACATGCAATGCATGTACATGTATGCAAATATGTCATTTTGTCCGAGATATATAGTACAAAAATGTCATTTCATCACATTATAGGTAACTTAGATATTTCTTATAGCCACAGTTTGGGTATGATGTTTTACAAATTGTATTGCCTGTATCTCAAAGATATAGGGGTCTAGCTTATCAAAATAATCTGGAAATGTTAAACTTATAAGACCATTTCACATTCATACCTATCAGATATTGTTTTAAACCCCTTTACCAGCGATTTAATAGATGTACCTGGGGAATCATAAATTGGAAAGCAACGAACAAATGTTCATCCTATTTACGCGTCAAATTTATTTAGAGCATCCTTGAAATGTGTAAGAAAGGTTGATTCGATGATTACTAGCTCAAGCTCGAATATGGGTCATCTTAAATAAAATAACAGAGCCCAAATATGGAAAAAAATCCTTGTTCACACTCTAAAGCCTGGAAACGTGTCTGAAACAGTTTTTAATTATTCGAATATGACCCATTTAGGGTCAAAGTCTAGGTCATATACCTCAAATATGGTAGTACATTGTTAACACTCTAGAGGTTTATGTCTCATAACAGTATTCAAAAGCGTTTATTTAACCATTCATTTAAACTCGGCATCTTGAAAAAAACTTTGTGCGCCTTGTAACACCGCAAAACGTCCGTACCGCAAAACGTACGTATATGGACGTTTTGCGGCGCATATCGTCCACATTTTTCTGACGTACATTTTGCGGCAAAAAGGCATGGTCCTGCCGCATAACGTCCATATTTTAAAGTTAATATAATTTTCGTTAATTTTGACCAGTTATTATCAGGTGTTATTGTGTGTTAATTTTAGCTCACCTGAGTATGCACCTGTCTGTCTGTCCGTCCAAATTTAGCTTGTTACCACTCTAGTATCCACATACCCTAAGCAATATTTCAGAGTTATCTGCTCTTGAATTATAATATCTGTTATGTTTCACATTGTTACCACTCCTACGCTTTCATTTCTTCTTCAATCTTGACAATTTTCAACAGAATATCTATGACCATAAAATCTCAACAAAGTTAGATTATAGGCTAAATCTAACAAATACAACAACAAAGAACGCACTTTATTTCACCTGGTTAGTGCTTTCGTTTCTTCTCCATTCTTAAATTTTTTGCAGAGAATATGTATAACAATAAGGTCTAAATCAAGTTCATTTATGAGCTAAAACGACTGAATATGTCAAACAGCCCCCACACCCCCGCCCCCATCTCCGATAAAAGCACTCTTGCTCAAAAACGATTAGGCGGCTAAAGACACCCTTCATCATAACAATAGCTCTCTCGCTCAAATATGACTAGGGCGGCTAAAAGCCCACAACCCGACAAAAGATCTCTTGCATGAATATGTTTAGGCGGCTAAAGCCCCCCCCCTCCCATCAACACAATAGCTCTCTCACTCAGATATGACAATCTCCTTCCCTCGACAAAAGCTCTCTCTCTCTCAAATATAACTAGGCGGCTAAAAGCACCACCCCCCCCCCCCGCGAGAAAAGCTTTATTGCTTTATTATGACTAGGCGACTTAAAGGCCCCATTTCCATAGCTCTCTGGCTCAAATATGACTACGCTGTAAAAAGCCCCCATTTATCACCCGTAAAAATGAACGGTAGAACGAAACCTCCATAGTCAACAAGAACACAAAAAATCATTCCCACTTCTTGATGCAATTTTATGAAAAGCTTTTGTCAAAAGCAAAGCTAAATTTTGATATTTTTTGTCATTCACTAAGTCCAATCCCCGGTTCGTCCGTCCGTATAGCCGTCATTTTCTGTATGTCTATAAAATTACATTTATTTCAATATCATCGTTTTTATATCTCTGCTGCTGCTCCATTCTATAAAAAATCTATTCCAAAAACATCCTCGGCTTAAGCATATTTCTTTTTTTAAAATAAAAAAGGTCAGAATTATATAGGATCACAAAATTATTGCACTTTAATGTTAATTTCGTCATATCTTTACCTGATACAATATGAAAGTGACAGAATATATTTTAATACAGAAAATATGGACGATATGCGTCGCAAATACACACTCTCGCCGCAAAACGTACCAAGTACGATATGCACCGCAAAACGTCCACATGTGTACGATATGCGACGCAAAACGTCCACACGCGTACGTTTTGCGGTACGGACGTTTTGCGGTGTTACAGCGCCTACACGTAAAGTATGCCAACGTCACAGTTAGTTAGATGTTAATTAGGGGAAAAAACCGTCTCAAACAGCTACAGTCGATCCTACGTTACTCCTTTTTGGAGGTTTAGATTGTTATTTTTTTTTACTTCTAATACATAATGGATTAGATAGAGACAATCGCATATGTATAACCAAAATGTCACAGAAACTGAAAACCTTTTCTTTTATGTTGTGTGAAATATTCAAACATTCGCAGAAAATACCTTGGCAATATACATTTGCCTTTATTAAATAAGTTTAGTAAACTTTTATTATGCCTTGTTTTATTAATATTTTTGTTAAATTTTTAGACAATTTGAATCCAAATCTATTCTTATTGGTTCCTCAGGCTTATAATGAACGGGATTTGGACAGTTTATATAAAAGATAATTGTTAGTAAATATATAAAGTAAGTGACAGCTTGGCAATATATTTACAAGTTTAATTATGATTAAGAAATCAAAAATTTAATTAAAAATGTTTTATAATCTCATTTTCGTCTTATTTTCAGAAACAGCAACTGCACCACTAATTCCAAGTAAGTATAGTTGTTATGTAAATCATAATAAAACGTTATACAAACTAGCGTTATTTGCTAGCACCGTTGCAATGAAAGTTTTATATTCGTTTTCTATATATCATAGGTATTATAAATATTAAGATATTACAATCTACATATTTCATTGATACGTGGTATTAATTAGAAAATTAAATAAATGAATAAATAAATAAACAAACAAACAAAACGGGCAATGTCACCTTCGTAAATCACCCTAAACACCAACATTGCTTGCATTGCCCTGATATTTATTTTTTTACAAAACTTTAGGTATATACGTTTATTTTTCTTTATATTTAGAATGCCACCTTATTTCAGCAGAGTTTTATAAGATAAACATAAAATTAAATCAAACCATTGGTTTGATACCATATTTTTACAATTATTAAGAAATGCATTTATTGCCTTAAGACATTTGCCAATTCATTGTTCCTGGTTTATAGCAATGTTGCCAGAATAATTGAAAATAGTACATATGATGTTAAGTTTTTAAATGTTTCTAAAAGTTGCCCATTGTAGTACCATTTTTCGTTTGAAAGTACCCTACCTCTTTTCCTATAAACCACAACCCTAGTATTTAATGTATTAACTTTTATTTCCCAACAATTACAGTAATTATGTAAATTATTTTATTTTTGTAGATTTTCTGATGTTTATCCAAGGATTGCCATATCATCAGTAGATAACAATAACAATTTAACTATATCATCATTTAATAAACCTGAATTGAGATTATTTTTGAAATACTATTCTTCCTAAATTTGTCTACAACAAATATTGAAATCATCAGACGCGAAACCACTTCCCCTTGCCTTAGACCTACAAAATGAATAAAAAAGATTTAACGTTATCGAAAATATCTTTGATTGTGATAGTATTTTACCTTGAACACTATACTTAAATAATTTTGACCATAAACAGTTTCTATATATACTGTCAAATACAGAAAACCAGGACTCCCAAACAACGTCCAAAAAAAACGGAAAAATGTGACTTCCAACGTTTATTGTCAGTTATATAATTTTGCATGATTGAATGTAAATTTTGACTTTCCCAAATCGTGTGTCTGAGATTACATTATAATCTAAAAAATTCTGCAAATTATCTCTTTGAAATAGATTTAAAAGGTTTTGAAAGACAAAAAAGGAGTTATTCCTTTATAATGATTTACATCTCCTTTCTTATCTATACCAACAATTATTAGTTCAGAAAACTATGAGTCTGGGAAAATTGCAAAAATAAGCCATAAATTTGTGAACCGAAAATAGCTATTGATTATATTGTTTACTCATTTAAAAGAAAATCGCGACCTTAAGATTTTTCTCCCTTAAGTGATTTGACAGCATTTGCCAATCCAGTGTTAGTTCACCGACAGCACAAGCAATCATATTAAGTTATGTGTACATTCAAAAACCCTATATACTCTTGTTAATATTTACAAAAAATAGTCTCTATCTAATTTTGTTTTACACGCATTATAATGCATTCATGGTGTTTTGCTTTTTCATGTCGAACTAGTCAACATTTTATTTTTTGTTTTTAGCTTTTGTATAGCTGTCAAAAAAGTGTCATTTATTAATGAAACGAATTAAAATGAAACAACGATTGTCGATTTTACAATGATAAGGTCTACTCCTCAAAAACTTTTAGTGCAATTTCATCCAAACTTTATAGGAATGATCAGTATGAAATATTGTTATGCATACCATAATACTTTTAAACATTAAATCCAAACAGTCAATTTACATTTCCAACATATTGCCTAATTGCCCTCGATACAGCTGTTTAATTGGCTTTCCTCACACGCCAAATGATTCCTATTCTATTTCGTGACAAAGAATTTTCGGGCTAATAAGACATAGGAGTCAATTCCGTCCAAACCAATCCAATTCTTATAAAGCGGGTGTTCGGCTGAAATTTCTGAATTTACTTTTACCTGTAATTACAAACTTGCAATAATTTTGCACTATCTTTTTAAAAAATAAAATTGGGAAATCCTTCAATGAAAAGGGGGAAACAAGTTCCTGACACGCTTTTCACAAAGTTTGTTTGCTCAAAAACACAACTACAGAAATAACTTTAAGATACAAAACATCAGCACCATCTAAATACAGCCGTTATAATTGAAGTATATGCTCATCCAGGGTGGCGAGGGTAAACGCATACAAACACGCATACACAAGAAGCTTTTGCTAACCGTCCGGTTAGGTAGAGCATTGGACTGTGACTTGGGTTTCCTCAGGTCACTTTCGTTGCGTTATTCACAATGTACTTTTGCTGTGGCATGTACTGTAAACTACAGGCAACAGATATATAACTTCATACACTTTAAACAATGAGTAGATAAATAGTTTTTGTATTTGTAACATATATAATTAAAGGATTTATCTGTTTATACATTTTTGGTCACCAAACAACACTATACTCAATTAGAATGTGCATGTAGATTTTTGTAATAAGGTTTTGATTAGTACAAATAATTTTCTATTTGACAGGTATAAACATGTCAGGAACGCAGATTGTCGAGAAAGGAAATCCAATTAAATTGTTGTGTAATGCTACCAGTGGAAATGATAAACTTCAGTCTATTGACTGGTTTAAAGATGGTAATAAATTACAGACTAGTTACACCAATGAGATTTTTATATCTCAGAAAGTTTCAATTTCGGAACATTCAATAACCAGTACGCTAGACATTGACAAAGCAAGAATGACAGATATGGGGAGATATGTTTGTCGAGCAAGTCGTAACCTAGCAACAAGGATGAAAGTGGATGTTTTAAATGGTAAGAAAGGTACTAAAATTTAGCCATCTTTAATGAACATTTCTGTGTAAACATTCGAGTCATCTCCTTTATTACCCCGACATTTTCTTTTCGAGGGAATTAAAAGAGTTATTGTTATAGTCATGTCGGCGTTCCAGTATCCGTTGTCGTTGCCTCGCACGTTGCCGTTGATGTTACCTTTGTCATCCGCAAACTTTAACATTGATTATAACCTTCTTATGTTTTGACGTATTGTCTTCCTACTTGCCCACAACTTTTGGGACAATACCTTCAAGAACACTAGACTAACATTAACTTTCATTCATAAATGACCTTGACATTTAAGTTCAAATGTCTGAATTTTGCTTGACGTTTGCTGATTTTTGCTTTAAACACCTATAACTTAGTTATTTGTGAATGGATTGTCTACAGACATTATCCTTCATTCATAGATGAAATTGACCTTGATTTCATTTTTTTGCTGTAACTGGCTATGACCTTGCTATTAATGAATCAATCGACTTCATATTAAGATACAATACTCTTTAGGATACGACCTTCATGTATATCAAACTCACATAGATCTTAGCTCATTTATGACCTAATCTTCAAGGTAGAATTATTGAATTTTCACTGACTTCTGCTATATTTGACTCTTACTTTGTAATTAATAAATGGATTATTTTCATACTTGGATAAAACAACTTTTTGAACAAGACCATATAAAAGGTTGAACAGACCTTGACCATTACATGACCTTAACCGTCAAGGTCAAATTATTGAATTATGCTTAAATTGTCACAATTTTGTTATGTCTTTACGGGTTTATACCTTGACAAAACAAAACGTGCGACCAAACAAACATATTAACCATTTCAGATATGACCTTGACATTTAAATGAACCTTGACAGTCAAAGTCAATTAAATGAAAATCTGTTGTTTCCAACTAATTTACAAATCGTTAAAATTCTTGCAATAAACACTAGCTTTCACTGCTTTTACAAAAATAACAGTCTGTCCTCAAGTGAGTCTTTTGGGGTCAATCGCTCTCTTGTTTATAAATGGATTAACTTTATATTTAGACACACAGTTAAGTTGCCATAAATTTGTTATTTTTGTGCGGATTTAATGCATACGTGGACAAAGCAACACTTATGACCAGACGGACCTGAATTTAAATATAACCTTGACCTTTAAATGATATTAACCGCCAAATGATTGTATTTTGCTTACATGTGTCGTTTATGTATGGAAATGATTCATACTTGAACAAAACAACAAGTGCGACTAGACAGACCTATTAAGAAAATTTTTAAAAGGGAAAACTTTTTCTTTTTTTTTAAGATTTGGTTAAACCTTCTATTTGTTTGCTTTTAAATGTCGAGCATTCTCCCCACCCGGCGATGGTTCTTATATTTTAAATAATTGTCAGAAAGTATACTAGATTAACAAACGTGGAATGGAAAGTTTTAGTTCAGTCCAATGTTTAGAAATCAGTCCTATCTTGTTCGAAATGTTTCCTGATAATATTTAGCTGCAGTATGTTAATTACATAAAAACACCAACTGAAAAATAATATTCTTTACTTTAGGAAAGGGATTCTTGAAAATCGTTGACTTAAGAGTAAAGGTGAAATAAAGAAATTAATAGTTAATATAGAAAAAGAAGTTTACTTTTAAAGACGCGGGATAAATTATTTAGCTAATTTTTACGACTTTTGCTGTAATGTCATTTTCAGCATTAGCAGTTAAACCTACATCAGACTTTAACCAAAGACCAAAGCAACACAGACATATCACAAGTAAATCTCATTTACATGACCCTGTTTCAAAACACGTTTGCTTTTTATTATTATTTGTGTTAGGTTTTTTCATTTTATCTAATACATTTCCGTAAAAAATGTTATTGCATAAATCCATAGCTAACAATTTTTCTTATATTTTATATATCTTTACTTTGATAAAAATCGTATGTTTTTAAAAGCAACGCATTGAAAGAACATGATAATTCAATATTGAGTTAAGATATATTAGCAAAATAAGTTCTTTGTATGTCCTTTGTACACAAGATGTACTTTTGTCAAGCGTTGAAAATAGTATTTGTGTTAATTCTGAAGTAAACAAATTTTTTTTGTTAATCCGAATATTTGTGTTATATTATTCTATCCCATGTTTTGGTCATGAATGCTGAACCACGTTTTATGGAAAAAGTAAGGTTAATTCGGTAACAAAATAATTCTAAGACAAATCAAATAGTAGTTCACGAATAGGTATGTTGCATCGCCCTCTTATTTTACGTTAACTGTAAAATGGTGAATCATTCATGTAGATATTGTTGAGGAATGAAAATACCATTATCATTTAGGTGTATATTGTTTAGTCGTTAAGTCTATCATCATTGAGTTGATTATGGTTTAGTTAAAAATCGTGTAGTGCATTCTAGTTTACTTGATCTTAGTTTAGTTGATTGTCGTTTAGTTGATAATCGTTAAGTTTATTTTTGTTTAGTTGATCTTAGTTTAGTTGATAAGTGTTTATTAAGACAACATTTAGTTTAGTTGATCATTATTTAATTAATCGTCGTTTGGTTCATCCTCTTTTTGGTAGTTCATTGTTTATTTGTGCACTGAAAACGATATGATTGGTTTTGTAAGTTTAACATTTCCTGAAAATAAAAACAGCCTTGGCGTTAATATGTTTGACCAATAAAAAAGCACAAGGTGTGACATTATACTTTTTCCTTTGTCAAGCTGAGATTAATTAGTTGTATATTTCAAAAGATTGCCTATTACAGATAGTGAATGAACAATAATTGATAGGATAGAATATGAAAAGACTGTCCAACTCTTTATATAAAATGAACATTACTGATATTTATACATATTTATGTGGGTCACGGTGTTTATAAATTATTCAGGTGACGTTTATTCAAACATGTCACATGATTGTGTCACTCAATACAAAGAAAGAATAGGTCTTAAACACTTGTTTAAGTTGTTTATAGGGACTACATTTATATGCGGCTGTTGAGTTTTTTCTCCCGCCGATACAAACAATAATATTATTTATTTATAATTTCCGTTCTTTCTATGTTTACTTTTCATATAATGCTAAAAATAACATCTCACATACACTAACGCCCCTGGTTTTATCTATATCAAAATTTATATTAGAAAATTCTTACCCCATTTTTAAGCAGTATAATGACGTTAATGGGTCAACGCTGCTAAATGTCGTTAAATGTCACAATTGTAACGTGAAATGTCGCACGATTTGCATTTGTCTTTAAATGTCGCAAGATATATGTTCATGATATAATTAAGTTAGCTAGTGGTTTAAATTTAACATTAACATTGAGTAAATCTATGTTTGTATTCAAAACTTATTAGGAGAAATAAAATTCATTCTTTGTAAAATTAGGATTTTATTTTTCTCTTACAAAGCTTATTTCCGATGATTATGAGTGAAAATTTCTAATTAGTTGTAACTGGGAGTAACAAAGTTCTAATAACGACATTTTTATCTCCCCTTATCCTATCAAATTTCTAATTAGGTTTTTATAACTTCTAATTTTAATGAAAACGTCCTTAAACAGAAGTAACAAGGTTTTACAATTCATTATAATTTCGAGTTAAACAGTTTTATAAGAACATTAACCATTAAAAATATAAGTATTGGTGTTCACGAATGAAATATATTTTGTTCTTGCATACAAAACAAAACAAAATATATTTATTTCATGTTTTTAGGGGTTTTAAGTCAGTTTACTCATTTTTGCCACGTAGTGACGTGCGCTATCACTCCTGACTTCATCAAATCATGACGTCACATTGTTCTTGTTGAAAAAAGTGATTCTGTAAAATTTTATGAATTTTGTTACATTTTTAAAAGTGATATGTGCAGATATTTATGTGCTTTTCGTAACAAAGAATATTTTACTCTAGACAGAGTGTATTATTTCCTGACGATATTTACACTTCTTTATTATTATTCTTTTCGTCCGCATTCAGATATAGTTAATATATATTATAATTTCACTGACCACTGGAAGGCATGCAATAAAGACAGTAAAGTATTTTTGGACTACTTTTTGTGTATGTAAGAATTGTAACCATAGAAAATATCATCTCTCAACTAGGTATATTGTAGGTATATTGTAGGACTGAGCATGAGCATACACTATGTTATATTATGAAAACAAACAATTTCTCCATCATTGATATGATGTTTTGATCCATTTCAAAAGAAATATTATATTTTATATTTCAGCAGAGACATATAACGAAAAAAGGGGTAAGTGTAGTCATAATAGTAGTCATAAGAGTCAGTATACTTGGACTAATGTGTACATATTTATACATCTGTTTCTTGTGAAGGAAGTTCAAAAAATCTACCATTTTTTGTTTCGCTATCAAAATTTGTGTCAGACTTTCATTCATTGTGTTATTTACCTATACTTTGTCATTAAACCTACATGTATGCACGTTTGCTATTACATAATTTGAATTAATTAAGCATTTATAAGTGAAGAAATAATAGATGGTTTAATTTTATTTCGTAATTACAAATCTTTCAAAAATTTGCAGTGTTTATTTTTTTCTGTTATCGAAACTCTTATTCAATATTTTGAGCCTTTACATGGACGCATACGAGTAATTCTTAAAGGATGCTTATAGTATGATGAGATACATGTACGAGGGATGTTAAGAAATATAGCTATTTTCTATTAAAAACGTTCTGATTATTTTAACTTGCATTGTCTTTTAAAATAATCGCCATCTACCTCAATACACCTTTTCAGTCGGTTAATCCATTTTTGAAGCACATTTCATACACTGGATACTGAAAGATTGTAGAACCAATTACATTTATAGAATTGTAGACGGCTAATAATTCAGTTTTAAGAATATCATTTGTAGGGGTTGCTGTAGGATGACCTGTCCGAACTGCATCTTTAAGCTGCATGTACCCGTTCATAAATTTAGCTACCCACCTATAGATAGATCCATGGATCATCCCCATAAATTTTTAATATTTACAAGCAGCGACCAAACTTTTACATATGATCTTATTTTCAATCACATGTGCCAGTCAGAATGTTTAGAATGTTACTAACACATCGTAAAAACAATGTACACAGTATGAAGATCGGAGATATTTTAAGATGCTATGCTCCGTTTCTTTTACTTGAGGTAGATTTATGTACAGTCGCAATAAAGCACAAATGATATTATTTTTGAAATACCCCTCGTATCTCGTCTATGTAAGTTACTCTTCAGCGACACACAATTTGATATCATCAAACAGAATTTATGATAAAACAGTTCAAAATAACATATTGATAAATTATGTCCATTTGCTTTCAGAAACACATAGTGAAATTATGAGTGGTCAGACGAAAGATAATAAAAACGGTTCATCTAAATTGTGTACAGATTCGTACGTATCATCTCCTTTATTTCTAACAGTTTTATTACAAACAATGTCATCTATTTACAAACATATTTTGTGATTTGTGATTATTGAAACACTTTTGACATTGCTAACTGTTAAAATACTCAATGTTTGTAGAAGAAAGGGACAAGAATTCGTACATAACTTTCGTCCAGAAACTGAAGGAAGATTATTATTATACCCTGTATAAATGTAACGATGAGAGATAACCGCTTTAATCATTATATGTGATTATAACTTCGTCCATAGATGATCAAAGGTGTATTTTCATATTGTGTGTTGACGTGGATCATCTTATTCTATGAATGATGTATGTTCCATGTGACATATCATAGTTTAGTGTTCTCAACAATGGGAATAACGTATGTAATCTTACATGTTTTATACTTGGAGCATATTGTGATTCTCAAAATATAAAGGCAAGAAAGTGTGACTTCGTTATTGATGGTTGGACAGAAACAACACAGCAAAAAGTTATATGTTATATAATCGTCATAGATTGACAAGGGAAATCCAAGAAACCTCCAATATTCTTTCTTTCTTTTTTCTTTTTTGTTCATTTTTTTTTCGAAAATTGTTATTATTGATTTGAATTTTTTTTAATGATTTGTAGTAGTTAAGAAGATACTTTTACGGGTATGTTTTATTATCTGGGTGTAAATTTTTCAGTCATGATATTTTTTTCTTTTACATACAGATATTTGTGTATTATGCTCATGACTAATTTATGTAAGGAGATTTGATGTTGTCTCCAAAATATTGCATACTGTACTAAAATGTTTTAAGATACAGATTTGTGATGTTAAATATTTCGACATACATTCACCATTGTAAATTAGTTCTCTCGAATGTTGTCGTCTTGAACAGTACATGTTAATTTCAGTCTTCTACACGTATAAAGAATACTACATTTCAAAAGGTATATTTGATTCAGAAGTGTTGACGTAACCAAAACATGTTCTAACATAATTAATTCGGGATATTCTCCCATGTTCTTTGTTTTTTTATCACAGCCTTGCTATAGTTTGTTTTCAATGTAATATAACCATTACGTATTTTTTACATCACGCACGTGTATTATACAGTAACACTGTTGTAAAAGGTAAAAACAATGAATTCTATGGCGTTTAGTTGTTCGAAAAATGCAATCTTCATATTCGTTGTCATATCATATAATATTCTATAAAAACTCGTCCAAGAAAATGTGATAAAGTTAGCCAGAGGCTCACTTGATAAAATTCTTGAACTCCTTTAATAAAATTTTATATGCTATGACAACTCATGAGAGATCCTTTATATCTAACATTTTATATCAAGAGGTGTAGAATCATATATGGGTGTAGAATCATATATGGCACGGATCACATTTGTTACACTGGTGGCTGCTCGTATGTTTGTACATATTTCAATTTTGTCAATTTTTAATGGGCAAGATTGTTTTGCCAGTTTACCTGTCGGGTATATGGACAACGCCATATGTCGTTTTTCGCAAATTTTGTTAAAAGCAGCCCAAGTTGAAGGGTGAAAACTCAAATATAAGTAGAGGGATGGCTATAGTTTGTATTAACGGCGGAATTCGATACAACAAATGCGTTTTGGGCTGGTTTTAGTGGTAAATATCAACAGCGTTCGCAAATGTCAACAAATACGCAACAATTCACTAATTTAACAAAAAGTATTCAATTTGCAGACAAAAGCAAATATTGCTCTAAAACAAGAACCATTTAGCTTCACAAAATTGTTTAGTTTGGAAAAATCAATGAAGTTATGATGAAGAAATAAGTTAAAACATTATCTTGGGTGTACTCAGTGTGAAGCTTTCTACTTTCGTTTTCGTTGTTTTTAGTTGCTATATCCGGTGGACGCTGTACAACAGTGCAACTGGGAGTATCAGAAGTGGTGGGAGTTTCTAATGTTGTGTCTTTCGCTATTTTCATGCACAGGAGTTTTCAGGATCGTGAGCTTTATTGGTGGTCTCGTTGTTTTAGACAAAACTTATAAAATGTCATTAACACCACAGATATATGTTGTATAATCTGTTCATTAGAGAATTAATGAAAAATTAACTTTTTTACTTTTGTAAAATGTTTAAAGGCCCATAATGCGTAGAATTGCTACCATATTTTTATTACACAAAAACATTTTGGTATCTTGTTACAATTTCCAAAAAATACTTGTTTGTCATATAGATTAACTAGCTTCTTAAAATTGCTTTGTTGGCCGTTGGTATAATTATAGTGAATAAGTATTTTGTATGGAAGTCAAAATACTAGTTTATTTACATTCTACTGTCTTTACTATGACTGTATTGATGCACATTTAGCGCTACTTTCTTCAGCTGTTAAATATTCAGTTCTTCCCAGTATATTTTACAGGAAGTCAAAGTGTTCTCAGGCGAACTTCGTCTGAAAAAATAACTGTTTCTTAGTGCTACTTTAGCCACCTTTTTTTTTAGCCAAACGGCGACCAGGGACATACCACAATACCACTCTTCGGGTATATAATAACAAGTGACAGAAAAGCGTCGCAAACTTATGTCACAAACCAGCGCGCTGCTGTATAGTTTCAATCAATTTCTTTAGTAAGTCTAGTAACGAACAGAAAGTATATGTGTTCTCACAAACGTTATAGGTGAAGATTGTGTTTGTGTAGTGTGATATATGTGATCCGTGATAAATGTGCTCTTACAAACATATCTCTTAGACTGTGTAATACAATAACAGTTACCTCAATCAAAATCTAAAGTAGATCATGTGTATTCAATGACAATGCATATGTGTTCAATCACGCATGATTAACGTTTTTACAGTTGATTATCCTTTGCTTTTTGTTTGTTTTTCTTTTTCTCAGAAAATTGAACATTGATACTCATTGATATTTCAATCATTTTTATCATTGATAGAATCGTTATTTGATTTTCAAAGTTATGCAAAGTTGTTTTATGTATATATTTTGATTCAATTATTAAACTACCAGTCCTATAATAAATGTTAAAGTAAAGTTGTTTTTATCTTTATATTTTATGCATTCTTCAATGAACAAAGTTCTCATCATTTCCAAGAACTCATTGGTGTATGAACTACGATTTCCCTGTCATGTCCGTCAGGTGGAACGTATTGGTATATGACCTATACTCTCCCTGTCATGTCCCGTCAGGGAGGGGGGACGTATTGGTATATTTACTTGGTTCTCCCTGTCATGTCCGTCAGGGAGGGGGACGTATTGGTATATTAACTTGGTTCTCCCTGTCATGTCCGTCAAAGGGAACGTATTGGTATATTAACTTGGTTCTCCCTGTCATGTCCGTCAAGGGGGCGTACTGGTATATTAACTTGGTTCTCCCTGTCATGTCCGTCAGGGAGGGGGACGTATTGGTATATTAACTTGGTTCTCCCTGTCATGTCCGTCAAAGGGAACGTATTGGTATATTAACTTGGTTCTCCCTGTCATGTCCGTCAGGGAGGGGGACGTATTGGTATATTAACTAAGTTCTCCCTGTCATGTCCGTCAAGGGGGCGTACTGGTATATTAACTTAGTTCTCCCTGTCATGTTCGTCAGGGGGACGTATTGGTATATTAACTTAGTTCTCCCTGCCATGTCCGTCAAGGGGGGCGTATTGGTATATTAACTTAGTTCTCCCTGTCATGTCCGTCAGGGGGACGTATTGGTATATTTACTTAGTTCTCCCTGCCATGTCCGTCAAGGGGGACGTACTGGTATATTAACTTAGTTCTCCTGTCATGTCCGTCAAGGGGAACGTATTGGTATATTAACTTGGTACTCCCTTTCATGTCCGTCAAGGGGGACGTATTGGTATATTAACTTAGTTCTCCCTGTCATGTCCGTCAGGGGGACGTATTGGTATATTAACTTGGTTCTCCCTGTCATGTCCGTCAAGGGGACGTATTGGTATATTAACTTAGTTCTCCCTGTCATGTCCGTCAAGGGGGACGTATTGGTATATTAACTTAGTTCTCCCTGTCATGTCCGTCAAGGGGAACGTATTGGTATATTAACTTAGTTCTCCCTGTCATGTCCGTCAAGGGGGACGTATTGGTATATTAACTTAGTTCTCCCTGTCATGTCCGTCAAGTGGGACGTATTGGTATATTAACTTGGTTCTCCCTGTCATGTCCGTCAAGTGGGACGTATTGGTATATTAACTTAGTTCACCCTGTCATGTCCGTCAAGGGAACGTATTGGTATATTAACTTGGTTCTCCCTGTCATGTCCGTCAAGGGGGCGTACTGGTATATTAACTTGGTTCTCCCTGTCATGTCCGTCAAGGGGGACGTATTGGTATATTAACTTGGTTCTCCCTGTCATGTCCGTCAGGGAGGGGGGACGTATTGGTATATTAACTTGGTTCTCCCTGTCATGTCCGTCAAGGGGACGTATTGGTATAATTAACTTAGTTCTCCCTGTCATGTCCGTCAAGGGAACGTATTGGTATATTAACTTGGTTCTCCCTGTCATGTCCGTCAAGGGGGACGTACTGGTATATTAACTTAGTTCTCCCTGTCATGTCCGTCAAGTGGGACGTATTGGTATATTAACTTGGTTCTCCCTGTCATGTCCGTCAAGGGGAACGTATTGGTATATTAACTTAGTTCTCCCTGTCATGTCCGTCAAGGGGGACGTACTGGTATATTAACTTAGTTCTCCCTGTCATGTCCGTCGAGGGGGACGTATTGGTATATTAACTTAGTTCTCCCTGCCATGTCCGTCAAGGGGGACGTACTGGTATATTAACTTAGTTCTCCCTGTCATGTCCGTCAGGGAAGGGGGACGTATTGGTATATTAACTTGGTTCTCCCTGTCATGTCCGTCAGGGAGGGGGGACGTATTGGTATATTAACTTGGTTCTCCCTGTCATGTCCGTCAAGGGGACGTATTGGTATATTAACTAAGTTCTCCCTGTCATGTTTGTCAAGGGGGACGTATTGGTATATAAAACTTAGTTCTCCCTGTCATGTCCGTCAGGGAGGGGGGACGTATTGGTATATTAACTTGGTTCTCCCTGTCATGTCCGTCAAGGGGAACGTATTGGTATATATTAACTTGGTACTCCCTGTCATGTCCGGAGGTGGGACGTATTGATATATGAACTAGGTTCTCCCTGTCATGTCCGTCAGGGAGGGGGAACGTATTGGTATATTAACTTGGTTCTCCCTGTCATGTCCGTCAAGGGGAACGTATTGGTATATTAATTTGGTTCTCCCTGTCATGTCCGTCA